ATATGGAAAACTGATGATGAGGTCAGTCTCTGGGTGCAGTTGTTCAGAAGCCCTCTGAGTGTCCGCATGAGAACTATCAGTGTCTGTAGCTGCTGATGCATCGCATGGTGCTTATTCACCATTAGCCATTATTTTCTTGATGTTCATGCTTTTAAAACCACCTGTGAGCCATTCTGTCCACCTCCCTTTGTCTCATCCATCTATATATTACTCCGTGGATATCATCACACAGTATTTTACCTTTCTTGGCTTTCAATGAAAGAGGGTCACTTTTGACATTTCCACCTAAGTATTTCTTAGGTAAGATGCTATCTGACCTTTAAAAAAGACTATCTTTTATAAATACTTCTTTGCTAACCACCATTAGTGTCACCACTTTTTGATCCACTTTCAAATGTTTCTTTTTAAAGACTCACAAATTGGATCTTTGAAAAGCACAGCTTGCAATTTTAGAAGGTTATCTTAAAAGAATTAGGGGGATGGGCTTTTCACTAGCCGCACTAGTGCTAAACTTGCGAAGAGAAACTATCCTTAAGTTGAAGTTGTCTCCTTGAGTTCATGGCCATTTTGATAAGAATAGTGCAAGGTGATGCAACCCCATTTTAAATTTAGAAGTTCTAAAGTTCATGCCACATGAAAAGGCAGCAGTGAATGGCACTGGCACACTGGCATTCAGGAAAGAAATCAGGTGCCCAGGACTTGACTTAAGCAAACTGTTTAACATGCCGCAGCAATATGCAAGGACATAAAAGCAAAATAAAAATGGGAAGCTCCACACTCTTTCATTCTTTTCCTTCCCAACTCAGTATTCATGGAGACCATGTACAGTCTTGACCCGGCTCCTCTGTCTGTGGTTTAGATTCCTCACACGGGAAGGGCAAAGGCAACACCTGGTTCCTGTCTTAAAGAATCAGTGGCACACAGGTTTGGACATTTTGATGTACAGGAAAGAGACTGACTGTATTTAGCAGTTGCTCTGGTTACTAGAATAATAATTTAGTGACTGACAGAATTTACATTTGACCAGAAATTGTTTGCATCCTTATGATATGAAAGGCTTAACAGTGGATGCAGAGATAAAACACGCACGATTTCTTCCCTTTAGAGTGATGTTGTCTACTCACAAAAATTACATTGGGATGTAAATAAGAAGAATACAGGGTAGAAATATGAAGGCTGATACCAAAGGGGCAGATAAAATGGGATAACAGAAGAGGGAGAGATTATTCTCAGCTGTATGATAAAGGAAGGCTTCAGGAATGAGGTAGTACCACAGAGAAAGGGATTAGTGTGTTGGTAAAATGCTTTTATTAATGACACAATAGCTTTACCTGAAGGAGATGAATGGGAAATATATCTAGCAAGGTGTGGAGCATTCTTTCCGAAGGAGTATGAGATCAAATGACCTTGGAATCATGCTCAGCATCTAGGAATGTATCCTACAGACAACACATGAGTGCACTTTCAGTCTTGGCTTTTCATTAGCATCATATAATAAATTTTTAAATTGCAAGATTGTCCCCAACATTTGTGTGTTCTAGAGCAAGACTGAATGGAACAGCCCACCACATATTGTATGTCAAAATATTTTATTTTTAAAACAAAGTACACTAAGGTCCGGACTTTGGGCTGGGACTTTCAAGGAGCTGTACTCTCCCTGAAGAAGCTGTACTCTCTCTCTGCCACTAGGGGTGTTGGTGGTCACATGGATGTTCAGGGGGCAAGAGGGGCGGAAGCTGGACTCAGGCTGGGCCTGCAGAGGAGGAGCATCCCCTGCCCACATCAAGGACTGGGAACATCTCAGAAGTCAAGGGCTTCAAGTTCCTGTGGAGGATGGGCTCCCCTGTCATTCCCAACTGCAGATTCCCAAGAGTTTCTCTGAGCCTCTTCAAACTACACTCACCCTCTCAACCCATCCCAAAAGCAGAGGGGGGTACTAGGGACGTGTGCTCTGACACACTCCCACTTCTGGGGATGGGGACAGATACTGAGAAACTAGAGCTGGACCTCCAGCTTCCCAGGTACAGCCGTGACCATTGTTCCTCAGCCTGACCCTGTCCCACTTGACCCACTTGATTCAGCTGCTATGTCCTCTTCTCACGTACTATTTCATTGTGTTCAGCTACCCAGTGTTTGGTACTTTGTTCTGGCAGCCCTGGGAAACTCATGCATTGTTCTAATGGCATGGGACACGGTTGGCTCCGCTGTGAACTGGGCGGACAGTGAAGCAGGCTTTCCTCCTCCAGCTCCTGCTCTGGGGACCTGGGACTGTTCTCCTCAGCATGAACATCTCTCCACATGACACAGAGTCTCCTGCTTAGCGTCCCTGTTCATCACCTAGCTACACAAACACAAGGTACTAATTCACTATGGGCTTCAGTTACCTGCTATATAAAGAAGTATAAACAGAAGGTATTAATTTACTAGAGATTTCAATTGTCTATGGTATAATAAGGCAGTTTCCAAAAGTTAAATTAAAAGGGTTTTACATACTTCCCCCCCTTCTTATGATGACCATATTTTAATTTGGTTTGGAAGTATTTTTGGTTGTATGTTAAGGGTATTCTCTTTAATCTACCATAGTGAAAATTATTCAGAAAACCTATAGAAGATTACATCCCTGCAAGTCACATTTTCCAGATAGGAAATTATTGTGGCTTTGAATTGCCAAAGGAACAGCTGAAAAAAATGGGTCACGCATTCGCCCCATCCTGGGACATGAGTTGCAAGCGCTGCACAGCCCACTTTTGTCCTCTTCTCATAAACAAGCGGCATTAACAAGTTACTCTTAAAAAGTGCACTAATTTCCCCAGTGAATTACACAGGAGAGCATCCAAATGTTGCCCCCAGAGGACTCAAATAGCTGTTTGTTCTTTGAGCTCAGGTGTGGTAAACTAGCTGGGGGCCACACGGCAGCCTGAATACTGGCCAGTGCGGTAGAGTGCTCCTTCCTCTCCAGCCCTGATTTCTCATACTGGTGCACAACTCATAGCCTGCCTAATCAGGGGGAGGGAGAAAGAAGGAAAGAAACAGGACTTCATTTTCAATTTCAATTTAATTACACAACCTAGAGTGCCTACCGGGAAGGATTTAGGGGTAAGATTAATGTTCAGTAGTGCTCTACTTTATATTTCTGTCTGATAAAGAATACCTTACTGACTATCCAAAGTGAGTTTTCAAAAATTTTTTTCAAGAGCTAAATTCCTTCCGTGGCAGAGTGATTTGAAAAGGGGGATGACTTCATTTTTGGGGCTCTGTGCCAGAATGCAGACAAAGTAGAGGAGTAAGATCCTCTGTGAACTCTATGGCCAGTGCATTTTCGGGAGTGGGGAGGACATCTCTAATTGGAAGAGGAATGAGTAAAAGTTCCATTGTAGGATTAGAAATACAAGCTGGTAGACAATGATTGCACAACACAACTATCCTTGGAGAATGACTGTATACATAAAATATTACGACCTTCTCTCATGTTAAAGTCCAAAGAATTTGACTTTCTCATTTGGACGAAGAACGATCATGATTTTATCTGGCATCCAATCAAAGTTTAAGATTATGAGTAAATATTTGGTGTTCTCTTTTGTTGTCTACATATCCTATTAGTTCAGCCAAATGTAGAGAGGAAGAAAATAACAGGAAATGAAAATTTACTCTTAAGAAATAGCCTTAATATATTTTCACGACCAATTCTTTAAGTTATTAAATAAATAAGAAAAACAGGTCTCTTGATAAGGAGATTATTCCATATGGGACTTAAATAAACAAAAATGGCAGCAGTAAAGTTTACGGCTTCACTGTTGCTCAGCCTTATGAAATCACTTGAGTACATACAAATAACTGAAAATACGATGATAAAGACGCTAAGCCCAAAAGATAAATAAACTATTTGGAATGGCCACCTGCTTTTGTCATTACACAACCATGGTTTTGCAAGTCAATATTTGCGACTATGTTCGAAAGCCAAAAGGTACCCGATAAACGTTAAATTTTGCTTACTGAGTTTGCAGGATAGTATTTTAATCAAACAAGTTCCCTGTGTTGAAAGCTTGATGTATCACAGGGCATCTGGCACAGACTGGGTAAAACTAGAGCTTTGCTTGGGTAGACTGAGAGGGAGTTAGAATTGGAACATCTTTTGGAGAGCATTTACGTCTTTGGAAAATGTATCCTTGGCTGGTAGAAAGGTAGATTTGCCTCTCTTCTTCTTGGCAATGGTGATTTATAACTTTTTCCAGAGGAAGGAAGAAAAGCATGGAGATTTGTATCTGTAAGCGAAATCTGAGCATATTCTCTGGCAGGCCAATGTCTGCCTTCTCCGAGTGCAGTGCACAAACAGTATGTACGGATCACATGGCCCACGGAAGAAGCAGGTGGGGAGGCACTGCCGGCTTCAGCTGAAGGCCCCTCTTGGTTTGTATGTGGGACTGCATGTCACAAGCCCCTTAAACAGTTATGTATAAGAAAATACAAATAACACATCACTAAGAAGACTGGATAAGAAAAGAGTGAAGCAGACAGGAAAATGCCAGGTGACTATGAGTAGAAATGGAAGATCAGAAGGAAAAGTTGCCTTGGGTGGTGTTTTGCTGGTCGGGGTTGAACTCTTAACTGCTTGGGAGGGAGTGACTTTCACCTGCATGGATGAACACTTGAGAGAGTCACAGAGGAGGGTCCTCTATATTTAGGGGAAAAGTAGATCAAAGTATCTGCTGTCATAATGGTATCAATAATAGAGGTCACAAGATGATCTGAGCCATGCTTACATGGTAGAACTGGCAGAACTCACTTGTCTACTATTTCTGATTTTGGGTTGGATGGGGTGGAGGAAAGCACTAGACGGGGGCAAAGAAAATGTACAATCATCCACAGTTGACTTATTTTCTCAGAAACAATAACTTACACATTTTTCATATCTAACAATGGGAGTCATCTTTTAAAAACATTTACAAATGTTTATGCACATTTAATACAAAATTTTATATCATAGAGAAGTGAGGCAATACCTGGTGGATAATATGTTCCTGGATTTTTTCTGTAGTCACTGAAAAAGAAAGCAGAAAAATTTTACATGAAGGCGTGAAAATCAACCCACCAATGCAGTCCTGATACTGTTTTGTCAAAATCCCCATAGCAGCCCTGGGCTCTATGAACAAGGATTAGTGTTACACTATGGGAAGTTACAATCGCTCCAATTATTGGGGAGGAAAAGGCAAAACCTAAATGAAGCATGTTGGGCACGGATAACAGAAAGAGGAGAGGAAATCCAAAGGATAACCAGCAGAATGTATTAAACTTTGGCAGAAAAATGATAAAGAGATGAAAAGAACTGAAGAAAAATGTGAACAACAGTCAGTCCATGGTCTCCAAACAATGATATCCTGTTGAAGCATCAGACAATACTGAGCTCATGGAACCCTGGGAACTAGACCAGGACATCTGAGGAGGCAGAAGGTAAAAGTGCTGCTTTTAAAAACCCATCTCCTACCTAAGAAGTGATGAAGACGTTGTTTTACTTTGTTGTTACAGTACTGCGGGAGATGGAAGTATAAACCAAAGGTTCTGTAAATGGCATGTTAGTCAGGATGGGCAAAATTCAGAGTAATACATGCAAGCCAACAGAGACTAAGAAAAGGATGCAAAACAGTTGGCCTTGGTCACTGTGACAATAACCTGAAAGGAATCAGCACACACACCTTAAGTGGAAAGCAATAAAATCCTTAGTAATCCTAAACAAATAATCAACAGACTAACAAAAAAGAAAGCAAACTTGCCAGCACCACCGTTATTCTGTTTGTGAACAACTCAGTGCGTCCCTTATACGTAATTAAGCACGCCCTTTGCAAGGTAAACTTTTTAATTAACAGCATTATAGAGTCATATGTAGCTGTAAGAAATAATACAGAGTTTCTCTGTATCCTTCACCCAGCTTCTGCTAATGGTAACGTCTTGAAAATCAAGAATGGTGTAGAAATGGAATCATCTAGTGTAAATAACAGTTTGAGACTCTTGGTTTTTCACTTAGTGTAATTCTCTGGGGATTCATCCAGGCTACGGTGTGTGTCAGCCGTTGGCGCCCTTTTCATTCTGAGCAGTATTCCATGGTTTGGAGACCCCATGCTGTGTTTAGTAACGTTCATAGGTATCTGGTTCAATTCCGAGTTTTTGCTGTTATACTTAAAGCTGCTATAAACATTTGTGTAGAGGTTATTATGTGAACACAAGTCTTCATTTCTCTGAAATACATGTCCAGAGGATAACTGTTATATGACAGTTGCATGTTTAGTCACTTAAAAAGTTGCCGAGCTTTTTTAAAAAAGGAGTAACTAAGTTAAATATATAATTCAATTAATCAACTAATAAGTATATGCTAACATTTTCTGAGTATTTAATAGCAGGTGAGGTGTCATATGGGATGCAGAAGAAGGAAGACAGAGTAGGAGGAGCGGGATATTTGATGTTGTCATTGTCAAGAAATGCCTGGGGCCAACCTTGGAGTTTCCAGATAAGAAAAGCCAATTTTCTTCATTTTGAAAGAGCAGTGCTCAATCACATACTCTTGATGTGTTTTAATATTCAGATTTCTTTTGTCAGATTAAAAGCACTGTGTTTAAAGAAGAGGCAACATGGTTTGAGGGAAAAGCTTTTGAATTAGATTACCCATATTCAAATACTGATTCCCCAAAGAAGGTACATTTGGGTTGTCAGCGGAAAGATGATAAGGTAGCTACCTTCCCTGAGAAGAGGCGGGTAAACAGGCCGGCAGAAGGGGGCGTAGGTGCAAAGGCTGTGTGCAAGGAGGGAGCGTTGGGAGGTGGTGGAGAGTGGGAGTGAAGTAAGGGGCTTGTGGTGTGAGGTGAGGCAGGACAGGCAGACAGGACTCAGACAGCAAGCCAGCCCATGGAGACCATTTGGGGAACGTAAAGAGTCATCAGAAGAGTAACAGCAAGTCAGCCCTTAAGGGATTTTAGAGCAGGGTGTAAGTAGGGACCTCAAAATATCATGCATAGGGTTGCATTTAAAAAAAAAAAAAAGACCATCTCACTCTAGTTGCCACTTGGAGTAGAGATTTAGAGACTGGATGGAGGATGACATCAGCACCACAAAGTCTTCAGTTGTGCTTTGTTAGGGACCAAGGGACATCTGGACGAATGTAAGAGAAGAAATAATATTGAAAACTATCCAATAATTAAACACTAATAATAACCCACAGTTATGGATAGTTCTAAAATGACCCCAAAGCTTCATGTGTTTGGGGGATGACTGGGTCAATGGGGCATCACAGCTGACTTGCTGTTAGAAGGTGCTATCTCATCAGAAGGGGTGGGTCGCTGTGAGTGTGACCTGGAAGGGTTTGCATCCCTCCCTGGCTCCTCCCGCTTCACCCTCTGCTTCCTGGACCACAGGATGTGAGCCGCTATTCCCAGTGCCATGCCCCTGTGCCATGCCATCTTGCCTTGGAGCTGGCCAACTGAGGACTGAAACCTCTACAAAGTATAAGCCAGAATAAGCCCTCCTCCTTTAATTTGTGGTTATCTGGTATTGTATTTTAGCAATGAGGAAGTGACTAAGACATCACTGACCTCTAGCAAATAGACCAGATTACAGCCGGGCATCTCCTGAAAGCTTTGCCAATCACGAGGTGTTCCATGTGAGGTCAGTTACATCATGCACTGGCTGTAACAGAGTTGTACCCCTGCCCAGATTTGTGGGGATTAAAATGAAATAAGCATGAAATTTGCAGGCAAAGAAGCTAGAGAGTTGTTATGGTTGATACACTGTGTCAACTTGAGGAGTCTAGAGGATTGGCTAAGTGACTCAGCAGTTCTACATCCTGGAGTGAAAGGGACATGCCCTTGCAGCTCTGGGTTGTTGTTCACTGTCTAATTTGAGAAGTTTAGAAGGTTAAGTAAGCGACTAAGCAGGGAGCCAGGGTCCTTACCTTGACATACATCTTGAGAGCCTGTACAAGAGGAGGGTGTGGACATTATGTGAGTGCTACATGCCCCCTGGGTGGGGGTAGCCTGCTTACAATATAAGGGAGGAAGAGAGGCTTGTTCTTCACCATTGTGCTCTTGCTACTTTTGCTGTAGTGTTGCCCTTGTGCCCCGCCACCCTGCCTTGGAGCCAGCTGATTATGAACTAAAACCTCCAGAAACCGGGAGCTAAAGAAACCTTTCCTTCCTTCATTTTGGGAGTTGGGTATTTGTCTCAGCAACGAGAGAAAAGTAACCAAAACAAAGGTCACTCCAGGCAGTTGGGGGCAGAGTGAGCAGCATTTTAGAGCCAGGAAAGAGGGTGTGTGGCTGCACTGGGAGGAGTTCCCTGTGGCTCACACAATGCTGCCCTTATCTGTGTATCACTCTTCAGACTTTTAGTCACTCATAATCAACCATGATCTGCCTTAAATGGAAAATTACAGGAAGAAACAATGTGTAAGTTTTAAATGTCTTTTCTTACAGAGTGCTGTTATAATTTTTTTATTTTATTGTTATTGCTGATCTCCTACTATGGTTAGTCATAAATGAAGCTTTATCATGAGCCTTTATCGGAAAAGCATAGTACAGATAGGATTTGGTACTGTCAGTAGTTTCAGGCCCTGGGAGAACATCTTGGGACATACGTCCAATGGCTGGGGGCCTAGTGTAGAGTCAAACAAAAGCTACAGCAGGTGGGAAGCAAATGGTATGGGGAGAGGGAAAAAGCCCAGCCTTGGGAGGTTGCTGAGTTGGGGTAAAACTGGAGGCCTTGTAGGTAGTGTGGGGTTCAGCCAAAGTCTTTCAGAGAGGGATGCAGTGACCAACGCTGCTGTGGAGTAAAAGGAGCTGGATGGCAGTGCAGAGGGTGGGCTGAAGAGGCAGGGGAGACGGGATGGAGAAAACAGCGAGTGCAAGCAGTGTCAAGGCGGGAAGGACAGGGTCTGCGCCCAGGCAGCGCGAGCGGGGTGGAGGGAGGCTGTGGGGAAGCCAGCGTGCGGAGGTAGGTTCTGCAGAGTGACTGGAACCGAGAAGTACAGGAGCAGGGAGCAAGCACAGCCCCAAAGGCTTAGTTCAGGGGACAAGTGACGATGACACTTTTATAGATACAGTGAGAAAAAAGACTCAATTTAAGAAGTTACTATGTGGGGTCAGGGGCCACAATTAAAATGAAGATATCTGTCAGTTATGCCAGCAGAACTAGCAATGACAGTGGACTGAATAATGACCCCCAGCTGTCCAGACCCTAATGGATGGAGCCTGGCGCTACGATACCTTATGTGACTCGGTGACTTTGTAGATATGGTTAAGCTAAGAATTTGGAGATGGGAAGATTATCTGGATGTGTGCAATGTAATCAGAAAGGCCTTTCCTTATCCTACAGGGCAGGAGAGGCACAGGCAGAGGGAAGGCCTTGAGATGAGGGGTCAGAGGATGGAGTGGTCTGGTGCTGGAAGAGCAGCCCCTAGGAAATCTGGACACAGGAGGCAATGGGGTTCCCCTCGAGGCTTCAGTGAAAATGCAGCCTGGCCGGTATCTTAATTTTAGACCCATCTGTACTTTTGAACTCCAGAACCAGAAGATTAACAAATTTGTATTGCTTTAAGCCACTAAATTAGTGGTATAGTCATCTACTGTATCTTCAGGTTCTGAATCTACAGATTCAATGAACCATACATAGAAAATTTATCTATCTATCTATCTATCTATCTATCTATCTATTTATTATCTATGGACAGGGTCTTGTTATGCCTGAAAATTGCAATACTCCTGCCTCAGCTTCCCAGAGTGCTGGGATTACAGGGATATGGATAGAAAAGAGTTTTTAAAATTTCATCTGTACTGGATATTTGAAGACTTTTCCTCTGCCATTATTTCCTGAACAAAGTAGCATGGTGACTTATACGTAGCAGTGACCCTGTATCAGATATTTTAAGTAATCTAGAGATGGTTAAAATTATACAGGAGGATGTGTGCAGGATATAAACAAATACTACACCATTTTATATGAGGGATCAAGCATCCAAGGATTTTGGTATTCGAGAGGATTTCTGGAATAAATCCCTTT